CTGCTGATATTTTGGAATGATTTTGAACCTTATGGATGGAGGGGGTGGAAGGGCCATAGTTCCATCAAAATGTTCTAGCTTGTTACCTTAGAGGAAATAAAAAGCTCTATCATGTTTCCACCTTAGTTTCTGGTGAGGAAGTTTATTAGTTTAAATGCCTTTTTAAACTTCAAAATACTTGTATCTCAATTCTAAAATTTAGTGTACAAAAAAAAAAAAAGCTAGACCAATTGACATAATGAACAGGTTATAGGCTGCAATGCAAAGATTAGGCCATCCTAAAAAAGATATCACCAGGATTTTTGAAATTTCATTTTAAATTAGCAAAGCCATTTCCCATATTCAGTTGTTTTCTAATGAGGATAAATATTTGCATGGTGAAATTAAGAAACAGTTATGATTTAATGTATGCAGTATAAACATAAGAAGCATCATACTCACAAATAGATACAGATTACTCTTACTCTGAACATATAAAGACATCTTTAAATAGATATAGCTATATAATATTGACATATTTATGTAAGAGTTCTTTACATTCATGCTACAATTAAGATTAGGACATCAACCTTGACGTTTACCCATTACTATTTCAAAAAATAAAATGAAAAAACCCTAGCCACATGCTTTTTTATTTCCAAGTGTCTTCTTTATCTTTCTGAGCTAGTTCATCTACTACAAGGCATTAATAATTTATTTCTTTCCAAGTTATTTTTAGGGTGCTCTAGCTTTATTAAGCTGTCTACCAAATGCTAAAACATTAAATAATGAGTTTTCTCTTCTATGCCTACCCCATAGATAGGAGATTTCTTGCTTCAAACCTCAGTGCACACATGTAAACACAATTACTCAAAACAAAGCAACAAGTGAGAAGGAGGATTAAAATAAGAACTCAGACATTCTAACTCACAATCCAGCATTCAACCCCCTAGAACTTGCTGTTTTCCTTTGTCCTCTTTGCTGTGAACCAAGATACTTGTTCTTTAGCAGGGTGTTTCTGCTGCAAATCCAGTTGCTACTGCATTATGCAATGAAGTCAGAAGCCTGAGCTTGTGACATCAATATAGGTTGCTATGGTAACTCTTTCCATAAGTATTACAGGTTCATTGTAGGCTCAAAAAAGAGGGCTTCAGCAGAGTAGCAAAATAGCTGGCATTATTCAGCCTAAATTACAACAGTAATTGATGCAAAAAATGTCTTATACTAGCTATAGTAAATGCAGATTTTTTATATTTATGTCGTTATTGAAAGTCATTTTCTATTTTTTTGAAAGAAATGAAAATTCTTCAATAGAAGTAGCATTGCCACTGACCTTCTGATATAACAGATCTACATGATCCAAGCAGAAGAGAGTCACACTGTAATATAGTTAATTATTCCCCACATTGTGTCATTCCAGAAGTCAAGTAATGTTATACATTATCTGTTATGAATACATTCATAATAGCATGATTCCAATCCAGTTTTCTCATTACAGGCATTATAAAAAGGTCCCACAGAGCTGTTTGTATGAAAGCAATTTTAGATGACAAGTTTTCTCAATGAGTGTGCCTATTTTTACCCAAACAATAGAAAAGATCACCTTTTTATTGCACATGTTCATCCTTATTTCCCTGAATATTTTTGCTAATGCCTCAGTTTTAACGGTTAAGTCCATCTCCCTGTGTAGGAGACATTTGGAAATATTCTTTATCCATTACATTCTTCCAACCTGAATTTGAAGCTTGTGGCTGACAATTACAAAGCCTGAATTCCTTTCTTCCATAGCTCCTTTTTTTTTTTTTTAATCATCTACCATCATCAACATGAGGATGTTAGTTCAATTCTGCAACCATGCTCAGGCTAGCCACTAGGGTTACAATGTGTCAGGCATTAGGTATAAGAAGCATAAGACATACATGTCACGCATGTAATAGCAGCAACAACACTAACAATATTTACTGAGTACCTGCCATGTGCCAGACACTATGGTAAGCACTTTACATCCATTATCTCATTTAATCCTCACAACAATACAGGGAGAGAGGGAAGTACTTTTATCCCCATTTTCTGCATCGGAGAACTGAAGCTCAGAGGGGTAAAGTCACTTGCCTGAAGTTGCAGAGGTAGCTAGGGAACACAGCTGGCATTTGAACTTAGATCTGACTCCAAATATTTATCTTTTGACAGAAATTAAGGAAAATTTCTTGTTACTGTGTTAAAATTTAAAATTGCATCATAATCCTATTGATAAAGAACTCCTTCACATACACTTCACTGAAGCATAAAGGCAATGATAGTCTTCAGGTTGACTTCATAAACACTTTTGATGACTGACTTTCCTGTTTTTGTAACACTCAGCAGTTCAGAAAGTGTTTGCATGAAGATATTTTTATTCCCTTAGGTTATAAATGAAAATATCTCTCAAAAATATTGGTCTATAACTTTTCTTAGACAGTTGCATTGATATTCTCATACACGCCAAGCTACTGGACTATCTTCAGCTCAGATAAATATATTAATGATGTGTATAGTGTGGCGCAGTTTACAAATCATACTAAACATTCACCCGTTCAGCACATTTTCACTGAGCCACTATTATGAGTCAGGCACTGTGCAAACTGTTAGATATGAAACTACAATAAAAAACTGAAATGGTCTCCAAATTAAGGAAGCATATAGTCTAAAATGGGAGTCATTGATCAAATAACAACATAATAAATGTAAAACTGGAACTGTGTCCAGACAGTAGAAAATAAGAAAGGCTGAAAATAAACAATCTAAGCAATTCAACCCTGAATGATACAAAGAGAACAGAAGAAACACAAAGAAGCAGAAGGAAGAAAATAATAAAAAGAAAAGGAAAACCTGAGGAAATGTAATGCAACATATGATGGGAACATCAACACAGCCAACTTCGTTCTTTGAAAAGTCAAATAAAATTGACAAACCTCTGGCAAGGGTGATCAAGAAAACAGAGGCAAGGCAAAAGTAAACACCTTTTGAAATGACAAAGGGAACACAATTAGAGATACAACAGAGATTAAAAAGGAGATAAGATGCAATGAACTTTATGTTAATACATTTGAAAGGATAGATAAAAGGAACAAACAAAATTGATCAAGAAGAAACAGAAACTTAAATAGGCCTAGACACACCAAAGAAATTGAATTAGAAATATAAAAACTTCCCAGATCAAAAGCGTGGATGGTGTCACAGGTAATTCTACCAAAATTTAAGAATGGATAATTCCAGTCTTACAAACTCTTCTAAATAATTTTTAAAAGCAGGAACTATCCAAATAAATTATTTTATGAGTCTAGTATAATTTGATTAAAACAAAAAGCTAAACAAGAACAGTATGAGAAAAGAAAAATAAAGAACAATATCTCCCATGAACATAAATACAAAAATCCTAAATGAAGTATAAAATCCAGCAAGTGTAATAAAATGCTGTATCCCTCTTTTCTTCCAAATGCAACCATTAATCAGCATTTTTGAATCTATTATTCTCCACTTCTTATTTTACATCTTAGTAATAATACTGAACTGTGGCATTTCCATGGACATACCTTACATTTCTCACCTCTGTGCCTTTCCTGATAATAAGTCCTCTACCTTGACCGCCATTCCTCGTTTAGCTAGATAACTTACTTAATCTTGAAAAAATCACCTCATCCCTCTCTCCTTCTGGCCAGAACTTTTTCTTATGATTTACCATATAGTACAAAGTATTTTAATGGGTGTCTTTCCCACAAAGAACCATATGGTTACAGATTATGTCTTTTTCATCTTCTAACCCTTGGCTATTAATATGTGCCTGGAATGGCACTAAATCTTCTAAATCAACTTCATGTAGTTTGCATTTCCACCACATAGTCAGTCTGATGAACTAATACAATGACCTTCATTTAGATCTTCAATATCACTTATATTTACCTCCAGTACTCAGAATATAACCTTATTTGGAAGTAGGGTCTTTACAGAGGTAATCAAGTTAAAACAAGGTCATTAGGATGGGCCCTAATTCAATATAACTGTTGGCCTTTTACCAAAAGGAAATTTGGACAGAGAGACATCTGCAGAGGGAAGACTATATGAAGGAAGAAAGCTATGTAAAGATAAAGGCAGAGATTAAGGTGATACGTCTACAAGGCAAGGAATGTCAAAAATTGTCACAAATCACCAAAACCTAGGAGAGAAGCCTGAAACATAGTCTACTCGACAGCCCTCAGAAGGAACCAACCCTATTGACCCCTTGATCATAAATGTTTACCCTCCAGAACAGTGAGACAATAAATTCCTCTTGTTTAAGCTAAGCCACCCAGTTTGTGGTACTTTGTTACAGCCCTAGGAAAACAATAAGTACCTTCAAGAAATCTTAGAATAAATCTAAGCTTCTTGCTAATGAATAAGGCAATTCCCAACACTTTCCTTCATTGGGTACCATATTGATAGAGCCAGTTCATGATAAAAATAGCTAGATCGAAATTTCACCTGTGTTTTTATAGCCTCACAGGGAAAATTTGCAAATAAATTTGTACAACCTAACACGTTGCCACCATTTGCTAAAAGAAGGTTAATATTTTTTCTGGAGAGAATGCTTTCCTTTCTTCCAGAAAACAGACATCTGATTCCTAAATGATCATTAAAATTTTTTTATTCTAGGCTTCTAAGACACATCTAAATACTCAGAATGGATTGTTTACCCATCAGTACATAGTTAAATTCACATTAAAACAGTCTCAAATATCAAAAAAGTGTTTTATTTTAACAACAATTAATAATTCATCTAATGTCTAACTTTAAGGGGTCTGATGGGAAGCATGGTGGAAGGTTCTTATTGAGGTTTTGGAAGAAGACAAAAACATGACATGAATCATAGTTAGGAATCTATATTAATAGCCACATTACCAAAGAACATACAGAGCTAAAACATTAAACATTTGCTATGTTCCTGTCGAACACTGCAGTCCCCTTTAGGGAAAAAGGCATAAATAAATGTGTCCCTCTGAACTTACTTTTTCCAGATGGGTGGAACTTGAGGGATGCTCTGAGTCAGCAGAATGGTCACTCCCATGCACCTTCAGGGGGAAACGTATGGCTTTTAGTAGAATCTAACAGAGTCACTGATCCTGTTCCTGGACTTGATATGATTTCCTTCCTTTCTCCCCCGCCTTTCTTCTACTGTCCTTCCTTCCTTTTTAGTATAAATGTGCTTTTCTATTAAAGCAATGCATGTTTGAAGTTTTAAAGAAGCCCCATTGTTTTGTGCACAGAACTGTCAAAATGAAGGAGCATTTTGAAGCAGGCATCCTGTTTCTTATTTTCTCAGTTCTGAGTATGAATTTAGCAGCATAACATATTGGTTGGGTACATGTTCAGAGTCAAATAGCCCTTGTCAAACTGACAAGATCTCTTATTAGCTGTATACAACTTTAGGAGTAGTATTTAGCCATCCTGTGCTTCCACACCAGTAATTAAGGAAGAAAATTGTACTGCCATCACATGGTCTGAGAACCAAAAAAAGATGGTACCTGAAGAGCACATAACATAGGGACAACCACCTGGTGAATACTTAATAAATGTAAGCTAATAATTATGCTTATAAAGAAAGAAAACACCAATTATATGACATTCTGGAAAAGTCAAAACTATAGCAATGGTAAAAAGATCAATGGTTTCCAGGGGTTTGAGGCAGGGAGGGCGTTAGGTGAGGTTTGAACACATTAAGCACCTTTTTAAGATGGTATAACTATCTGTATGATACTATAATGGCAGATATATGATAGCACACATTTGTCAAAATGAATAGAACTTTATAACATAATGAGTGAACCTTACTGTATGCAAATTTTTAAAAAAACCTATTTGGAGGTCAGGGTATTCCTGGATGGAATGCAGAATGTGATAAAACTAATTATATCATGAATGTATGAAATAAATATAACTATTACAAACGTATGAAGCAAACTCACTGCAGGGGCTGGGGGGAAAAGAAGACCTAAGTAAGTCTGGAAATGAATGAAGTCTAAAAGACTCTAGGCAAAATAAACTGTTACATAAGCACTGTGTGCTGGTAAAGTTGATTCTCATGAGGATATCAGTAATTTTGATACTGCTGTACATATATACTGGAATTGAACAATTAAGTAATTAGATGCTGGATGTTGGAAGCCAGGTTTCTCACTGTAGCTGTGGGAGATTACAGATAAGAAAGAGGAAGAGGCCAGAATGAGCCATGTGGTAATAGATGAGCGTTGGAGACATCAGTATGAACGCATGTTTAGCTTGGTATAGATACAGATGATTACATATAGAAATAATTATAGAAATATGTACATACATGGGTTAGTATATACACATATAACCCCTTGCTCTGTCAGTAGAGAGGGCCTAGAAATAATGACACCCCAGCAGCAACAAGCACACCTATCATTCAGATCTTGTTTTCTAATACCATATTCCAATTTTAAAACATCAGGGCTTCTTGGAGAAAGGCTGATTCTAGGACTGAGACAAAAAATATATACGATGATCCTAGAGCATCTTGTAGTGCCAGAAAGTAAAAAAATGCTTTTTAATAAATAATGGAGTATGCAAAGGGACATAGCAGACAACTGAAAAAGTCCCCAATTGTCAGGCTGGAAAATTTTATCAACAAAATAAGTGGCATTGGCTTATAATCCAAAACAAAAAATAAATCTATGAGTCCATACTGATATAAATAAATAATTGAAAAAATAAATAAATATCAATCAATAAATAAGGGAGAATAGACAAATCTCCCACACAGAAAAATTCCAAATAATTAGTGTCAATACTCTGCCCTCGAGGAGGTGAAGCATAAATTCCCACACGTTGGATGTGAGCTGTTCATAGTGACTTCCTTCCAAAAAGTACAGTATAGAAAAGGGGGAGAAAGAGCAACTTTATAGAAAAGAAACCTGGCACACTAACTCAGCCAAGTGACCAAGGTCAACATGGACAGTAATAAGTCATGTTGATAGTACATACCCTTGACATGACACGATGAAAATGGCACTTTACCTTTTTAGTCTTCTTCCCAAAAACCCACAACCCCAGTCTAATCATAGAGAGAAGACATCAGGCAACTCCCAATTGAGGAGCATTTTACAAAATACTTGACCAGTACTTTTCAAAACTGTCAAAAGTCACCAAAAACAGGGTAAGTTTGATAAACTATCACAGCCAAGAGGAGCCTAAGGACACATGAGGACTAAATATAATGTGATATCCTCGAGGGGATCCCCAAAGAAAAAAAGGACATTAGGTGAAAACTAAGGAAATTAGAATAAATTATAGACTACAGTTAAAATAACATATCAATATTGATTCAAAATTGCAAAAAATAGGGCTTCCCTGGTGGCGCAGTGGTTGAGAGTCCACCTGCTGATGCAGGGGACGTGGGTTCGTGCCCCGGTCCGGAAGGATATATGGGAACTTTGTAGTGACTTAATCTGTTTTAAAATTTAGAATTTGTTTTAAAAAAGAAAAAAATTAAAGACAATTATATTGAACCTAAAAACAAAAACATTAACCAGTATTACTAAGTATTATTTTTTTTAATTCGGTAGACAATTAGTACAGGAGATACCTAGCAACTACTAGGACTTATAAACTTGAATGGTTTAATCATTACTCCAACTAATCCTGATCTAATTATTATACTTGATTCAATTCACGTTGAATCTCTTCTCAAAGTGAGACCCTCCTTAAAGTTCATCTGTTATGTTCAGAACCTTTACCACCCACTTTAATTTGCCTACAAGGAAATCTTACAGATGTCAGTGGCTTTTATACTCAACCTGCAGTTCCTAACACTCTACTCCATTTTTCAGCACTCCTTGATTTATAGCTCAAAGGACAATTTGCCCTTTTTAATCCAGTGAAAAACTATTTAAAAAGCAAGAGGTTAGTCACAAATTACATTAACTTACTAGTAACACAAATCCACACATGATGATTTTTCCCAATGTAAATTAGGTTTCACATCACTTATGTCTCCTGTGTTTAGTTCTTGGCCTTCTGAAGTCAGAGTTTACATATTTAGTTTTTTCCTCAAGTAATTCCTCATCTAACAAACTTCACCACCCACAGTAGATTTTATGTGGTACTATTTTCTTTTAAAAATGTGAAAGTGCAAAAAAAACAGTAACTTAATAGTTTTCTATATGCTCCCAGGAAGTTGTTCCTTCCCTCCCTACTGTAACACAGAAATGTAACTCTCTGAATTGAAGTTTTTTGTGACGCCTATGCTTTGGGGGGGCTTGAAAGTGACTATGAACAGAGAGATGAAAAGTAACAGTAGAGACAGGAAGTTGAGCTCTGCCATCATACAGTTTTTGAAGGAGCTGTTTGCATATGGTTATTCATCCCATTTCTCTCTCCTCTGTACACTCTAGATTATACTCCATAATCTCCCTATCAGTGTTCTCAGGTCTTGCACATGTAGAACCTGATATGAGTATAAGATAAGCATAACTTAGAATTTTATGATTCTTCACAAGGTCCTAAAACACCTAGAGACAATGACCCTTGACTTAGATGGGGCAGGTAGAAACGTAGATGAAAAGAGAGAGACTGAGAAATTTCACCACTTCTCAAGTGCTCAAAACCAGCTCATCTATTCCCAAGCCCACTGGACCTTCCTCCCCAAACGCTGTGTACATACCACTCGGAGCCAACTTGAACCTACATCTGGAGGATATTTTACTCAGTGTGAGTATCCCCTTTCTTCCTTCTTGGTAAATTATAAAGTGATGTGGTAAGTTGGTGATCAGCTCAGTGCTCCTACCTTGTTTACTGGAAAGAAAAAGACTTCCTCTGGTGACTGGTAAAGGGAACCAGCCTTGTGTCCAGATTGAAACTCTAACTTGAAAATTCCTCCCAACCATAGAGAATATTTGCAAACGAAGCAACTGACAAAGGATTAATCTCCAAAATTTACAAGCAGCTCATGCAGCTCAATATCAAAAAAACAAACAACTCAATCCAAAAATGGGCAGAAGGTCTAAATATACTTTTCTTAAAGGAAGATATACAGATTGCCAACACACACATGAAAGGATGCTCAACATCACTAATCATTAGAGAAATGCAAATCAAAACTACAATGAGGTATCACCTCACATGGGTCAGAATGGCCATCATCAAAAAATCTACAAACAATAAATGCTGGAGAGGGTGTGGAGAAAAGGGAACCCTCTTGCACTGTTGGTGGGAACGTAAATTGATACAGCCACTATGGAGAACAGTACGGAGGCTCCTTAAAAAACTAAAAATAGAACTACCATACGACCCAGCAATCCCACTACTGGGCATATACCCTGAGAAAACCGTAATTCAAAAAGAGTCATGTACCAATATGTTCACTGCAGCTGTATTTACAAGAGCCAGGACATGGAAGCAACCTAAGTGTCCATCAACATATGAGTGGATAAAGAAGATATGGTCCATATATACAATGGAATATTACTCAGCCATAAAAAGAAACGAAATTGAGTTATTTGTAGTGAGGTGGATGGACCTAGAGTCTGTCATACAGAGTGAAGCAAGTCAGAAAGAGAAAAACAAATACTGTATGCTAACACATATATATGGAATCCAGAAAAAAAAAGGTTCTAAAGAACCTAGGGGCAGGACAGGAATAAAGACACAGATGTAGAGAATGGACTTGAGGACACGGGGAGGGGGAAGGGTAAGCTGGGAGGAAGTGAGAGAGTGGCATGGACACATATACACTACCAAATGTGAAACAGATAGCTAGTGGGAAGCAGCCGCATAGCACAGGGAGATCAGCTTGGTGCTTTGTGACCACCTAGAGGGGTGGGATAGGGAGGGTGGGAGGGAGATGCAAGAGGGAGGGGATATGGGGATATATGTATACATAGAGCTGATTCACTTCGCTATATAGCAGAAACTAACACAGTATTGCAAAACAATTATACTTCAGCAAAGATGTTAAAAAAAAAGAAAATTCCTCCCAAACAAAATTCCAGCCTGCCCAAATTTCTATACAGTGTGGCTTCTGAGTGAAATGGAAAAAGCAAGTGGAGCCAAT